CCCCCCGCCCGCACCCCGCCTGGAATTCCCCGGAGAAAGCTGGGCCTGCGGGCCTCCGAGCCGCCGCGGACCTGGAAACCCCGAGGGACCCGCCCCGCGCGCGCGCGCCACTCCCAGGCAGCCCCTAGTCCTATCCTCCGGGAACTCCGACCCCTTTATTTATTTGATCCACTGCTAGGCGGGCCCCCAGATATCATTGGGTCTGACCCCATTGTGTAGCTGGGAAAACTGAGGCCCAGGGACGGGAAGGACTTGCCCAGGGTCTTCAGTTTAGACCGCCCTTCAGACTGAGCGTGCTCCCCTCCGAGGGTACCGAAGACTGTCCGAATGGGACAGGAACACGGGTAGGTTTTAAGACAGGTGTCAGCAAACGTTTCTGAAAAGGGCTAAATATTTTAGGTTTTGCAGGCCATAAGATCTATGTCTTGGCAACTATTCAAACTCTAGCATCGTAGCTCAACAGCAGCCATAAATAATACTTAAAGGTATGAGCGTGGTTGTGTTCTAATAAGACATTATTTATCGACGCTGAAATTTGAATTTCACATAATTTTCATGTGTCACGAAATATTGTTCTTTTGACCTTGTTTTCCCCCAACCATTTTAAGTTGTAAAAATCATTCTTAGCAATGGCTGAACAAAAATAGGCTATGGACAGACTTTGGTCTCAGGGTGGCTGACTTCTGTTTTAAGGGATTCATTGTCCATATTTTGAATTTCCAAAAAAGTTTGATTTTTCTAAGAGCTGATCTTCAAGTTTATCTCCATTCTCAGATCAGCTTTCAGCCCGTAGAAAAGACAGTTGTGTGTCCCCCTACCCTTGCATACTCCTGACAGTGTATTGGGGGGGGGGCACGGGGAGTGGGGAGATGGTAGAATTCTCTAGGGCCCCAAGCATAGGTACTAATGGAATTATTAGGGGAGAGTTTCCTATGATGATCAGTCGAAGTACCAAAGGTGCCTAGCCCTGTCTCTCCCTGGCTTACATATATCTTTCTAAAGCCACGTGTGACGTGTGACGTGGCTTTAGACCTAGTGTATTTTGGCTTCTGTTGGCATATTATGAATTCATATACTTTGTGGAGTGGAGAGTTGGGAGTGACTTTTCCTCAGCCATCCCCTGATTATTATCAAAGACCAAAATTCTCTTGAGGCAGAGAGCCCTGACAGGAAAGCAAGCTTCAAATGCTGATCATGTTTTTCCCACATTTAATGATAAACAACTACAATTTGTGGTAATGAACATGCTGCCAATATTGATCTCACCATCACAACTTGGGCAAAAGTGGTGATGGCCAGCTTTGTACCCCGTGGATATTCATAACTAATAAAAATAAATAAATAAAGATAAGCTATTATTTTCAGGTGTTCTTAATACGCTTCCTTAGGATTCAGAAAGAAACTGCAAAAATGAACGAATCTCATGCCAGAACAAGAAATCCTTTTGCAAGTCAAATGGTTTGCAATCTTCACTTTCCACAGAAGGAAAGGAATAATTGAAGGAACACCTAA